TGAGAGCTGCTCTGCTGTGATTGGTCAGAAACACTGTAATGTCCTCATGATCTCCACCGCAGCTTCAGCTCTGTCTCTCAGTGTCTGAAACGCTTCTGTGCAGATTCAGTCTAAGCCCCGCCTCTCTGAGAGCTGCTCTGCTGTGATTGGTCAAACACACACTAATGTCCTCATGATCTCCACCGCAGCTTCAGCTCTGTCTCTCAGTGTCTGAAACGCTTCTGTGCAGATTCAGTCTAAGCTCCGCCTCTCTGAGAGCTGCTCTGCTGTGATTGGTCAAACACACACTAATGTCCTCATGATCTCCACCGCAGCTTCAGCTCTGTCTCTCAGTGTCTGAAACGCTTCTGTGCAGATTCAGTCTAAGCCCCGCCTCTCTGAGAGCTGCTCTGCTGTGATTGGTCAGAAAGCAAACGCTCATTATCATATCTGAACCTCAGCTCTTGATCACAGTGATACGAACAGTAACGATGGCGTGGGTTTCACCGTCTCAATCTCAGAAAACAGCGTCTCCTCGACACGAACAACACGAGCCGAACTCTCCCAGTCTCAGATACACTAGTGTTAGAGGGCGGAGCTAAGAGATGCTGCTCAGCCAATCAGCACCAGAGGCTGGGATTATGCTAATATACAACTACAGTGTTCCTAAACACACAGTACCAGTGTGTGTCTGCATGAATGAAGATCAAACACAGTCAATCATGATGAGATCATCACCAAAGTTAAAGATTACACTGTCAGATCAATATATGATCCGACGACTTTATATCGTGATCGATCTGGACGTCCACGATCTACTCATGTCCTCGTTTGCACACAGAGCTCACGGTCACTGTCATTAGCTGATTGGCTTCATTAGCTGCTTAGCTTCATTAGCTGATTAGCTTCATTAGCTGATTAGCTTCATTAGCTGATTAGCTTCATTAGCTGATTAGCTTCATTAGCTGATTAGCTTCATTAGCTGATTAACGTCATTAGCTGATTAGCTTCATTAGCTGATTAGCTTCATTAGCTGATTAGCTTCATTAGCTGCTTAGCTTCATTAGCTGATTAGCTTCATTAGCTGATTAGCTTCATTAGCTGATTAGCTTCATTAGCTGCTTAGCTTCATTAGCTGATTAGCTTCATTAGCTGATTAACGTCATTAGCTGATTAGCTTCATTAGCTGCTTAGCTTCATTAGCTGATTAACGTCATTAGCTGCTTAGCTTCATTAGCTGATTAACGTCATTAGCTGCTTAGCTTCATTAGCTGATTAGCTTCATTAGCTGATTAACGTCATTAGCTGATTGGCTTCATTAGCTGCTTAGCTTCATTAGCTGATTAGCTTCATTAGCTGATTAGCTTCATTAGCTGATTAGCTTCATTAGCTGATTAGCTTCATTAGCTGATTAACGTCATTAGCTGATTAGCTTCATTAGCTGATTAGCTTCATTAGCTGATTAGCTTCATTAGCTGCTTAGCTTCATTAGCTGATTAGCTTCATTAGCTGATTAGCTTCATTAGCTGATTAGCTTCATTAGCTGCTTAGCTTCATTAGCTGATTAGCTTCATTAGCTGATTAACGTCATTAGCTGATTAGCTTCATTAGCTGATTAGCTTCATTAGCTGATTAACGTCATTAGCTGCTTAGCTTCATTAGCTGCTTAGCTTCATTAGCTGCTTAGCTTCATTAGCTGCTTAGCTTCATTAGCTGCTTAGCTTCATTAGCTGATTAGCTTCATTAGCTGATTAGCTTCATTAGCTGATTAGCTTCATTAGCTGATTAGCTTCATTAGCTGCTTAGCTTCATTAGCTGCTTAGCTTCATTAGCTGCTTAGCTTCATTAGCTGCTTAGCTTCATTAGCTGAGGTCTCCGTTTAACAGTTTGGTCGAAATACGTTACTGGATAGAACTGTTAAACAAAGAATGTAAACTGTATACGAAAGAGAATCATAGCGTTTGCTTTTAGATTATTAGTAACATAAAGGCAAAAACTATTAATACTTTCTCATTTACCGTCAGCATTCAGCATATGCGCATTTATATCTCTCTATATCATATTCGTGTCATTTTCACTGTGCTCATGTAAAATTAGTTTTTTTTTACAATCTTGCCTTTTTATTCATATTTTTTCCATGAAAAATACAGTAATATGATTACAGAATCAAGAAGTTACATCTAAAGTAAGTCGGTTTAATTTATTCATTTTCATATTATATTATTTCATATTATTTCGGCCAGTCTATCGGCCTTCAAATAGTTTAGTGATAGTTTGATAGTTTAATGCAATACTGTGATTTAAACAGTGGAAATATATAATATTTCTATAATATATATTATTTAGATCGTGGATCATGATTGTTTGTTATAAGATCGTGATACGAAATTTTGGAAAGATCGCCCACCCCTAACACACACACACACACACACACACACACACAGTCAGGGGGTGTTTAAAAGGCAGAAAGGAATGTCATGTGTGTTTGCTGTTTAGCTGCTTCAGCTGTCACAATGAACAC